CCCGTAATGTTCACTCGCAGTATCGTCGCTTTCATATTTTTCGGTTATGCTCTTTGTTGCTTCTTTAGGCACGGATTTCAACTTGATTATTTCTAGACTGGGTCCAGAGATGTCTTTCTTTTCAATCTTTGTCGGCTTTAACTCAACTTCTTCCAGTCTTTCTGTCGTTACATCTTTGATAATCTGGGGAGTTTTTTTCAAAATTACTTCTTCTTCGGTCCACGGTTTTATTTGACTCTCGAAGGCCCGAAGTTTATCCAAAGAAGAATCTCTTGATTTTATTTGTACTTTCCGCCATGGAAGTGAATCGCGAGTTCGAGATCGGGGCTGAATGCGTCCTTTTCGCCAAGGCAGCGATTCATCGCCAGGTTGAAGTTGTACTTCAAGTGGTAAACCATTTTCGTCGAGAGCTAAAGATTTCAGAACTATATCTTCCTTCAAATCTTGATGAAGTTTCGCATCTACTTCGATACTGGCACCCGTTTCCGCGGGAACCGCGTAATAGGCTTCTTTTCTTTCTGCAAGTTATGGAAAATTGTTTTAAATTTGATTTAAACGTTTTCAACTATTTGTTTCACACCATGTACATTGAATTAAGGAAAAGCTTTATTTACATTATACATGATATATTCTATTAAATTAAATTAAGAAGAAATTTATTTATAAACTTATGATTTATTTATAAACTCAATTTATCAATCTTTTATCATCGTGACATTATGATTATATATAAATATTTTGTGTAATTGTACACATATAGAAATGCGTTTGCAAATTTATTTTGTAATTGCCGAATAACAAGAATTTTGACCGAATTAATTTCCCAGAGCAGAAATCAAGGCATTTGGCCAGATAAGCGATTTTAGAAAAGTGGATTATTCGAGTTATTAATATATAATGTGAGAGATATAATTTTTTGTGAAAGATTATATTTAACTTAACATTTGTCTCTCCACTTGATATTACAATAGTAAAACTTACGTAGTTTTGAGTGACAATTATAGCAATTAATAAAACAAGTAATTGTAGAAATGCATGAATCTCTTAATCAATATGGTTAACAAAGAACATTAAAATGTAACACATATACATACACACTTATATATTTAGGTATATGTAGATTTTATATATAAACGTCGCTTGAGACAATAATATTAGGAAATAAAGTTTAGCAGCGAGTCAGTTAAACACATGCTACAGTTGTACCTACGTAAAACGCAAATGTTAAAGCATGTCTACAGCGAAAATGTAAAATGTGAAAGTCTACATTCTTTGTGTTATTTTTAAATAGTCTAAATTTATAGGGTTTGTTATCTGCGTGTCGTCTGCGTGGGAGTTTTCTCCGAAATGCAATAAAATACAGTGCTATTTCAGTGATACGATCGATGACATCGCGATGTCATATTATTTTTAATATACACAAAGACAAGTCTCGGAGGATATATACAAGGAGAAGTCTCAGATAATGGATATTTTATTAAGTATAATCACGCGAGCCGAGGTGTTCAATCGCAGTATCCGTGGAGTTCGCGGTGCTTGTGAAGCTTCCCTCAAGTAGTCTCCCGCGGAGTAACTCTCGGTGGGGATTCTTAACGTATAAGTCGCATGCCCCTACTTCATGCTACATCTAGTCGTAATAGTAATCAGTTGGAAGGCGAAGACGAAGGAACGGAAGAAAACCGAGCAAAATCGTCGTCACCTTCTTACAATATACGGTGACGATGTGACAGTGATTACATCGTTCAGTGAAGCGAATCGAAAGTGATGTTGGAAAGAAAAAAATTCGGTTGATAATTTCTAACGTTTGTTATCTCAGTAGAAGTTTCTTTCTTTTATGTGCTTAATCGAAATGCAATTATATTTAAACTGGACACATGAGAATCCATTTTATCATCGTAAAGTGATGCAGTTAAAATATTTGTGTTGTATAATGTATATTCGTATATTATACAATATATTGTGTAATGTGTATCATATGAGCAGTGAATTGTTCAACACAATATATATATATATATATATATATATATATATATATATGGAGAGAGAGAGAGAGAGAGAGAGAGAGAGAGAGAGGGCTGTTTTAAGTAAATGATTCGGACGCTCAAAAATATTAAATATTTTGTCTTTACATAATCTTTTTTTTACATATTTTAATTTTATTTCCCAAATATATAAAACGCTTTCTAACTCTCTTTCTTAGTCATTTAATCAAAGTGTGTATTTGTACGTGTATGTGTCAAATAAAATGCAATTATTATTTAATTATTGATATAATGATATTAAGAGTTTAATGAGAAAACTGTAACGTTTTATGCTTGGGAGACTTATCTATCTACAGTTGAACGTTGGTCAGAAAGCTAAAAAAAACTATGCTTATATGAATGAATGCAGATGCAGATGAGTGAATGAATACAAAGGCAGAGATGTACTACTTTCTGCATGGTAACATACAGTTTATTAGATGAATCACGTAAGATAAGATCTATAATATGATTATGCACAGAATTAAAAATAAAGACAGAGATAAACGCAGATGCGCATTCGCTTTTTCTTCTTTATACCTTGTCCCGCAAGTTTCATGACTATTCGATACAAAATGCGGCATATTAACCACTATGTTTTTTACATTATATATTAAAAATATGATACATTTTATGTATCGACTTTTTTCATTGTCAAATAAGTTTATATTAACTGTAAAATTAATTTTTATATAAATATTTTTTATAAATAAATGAATATAAATAGCAATATTATATTGTCAGTCGATGACGATGTACTATATTTTTAATTGTGAGTGAATGTTTTATTTTTTATTCAAATTACATAAATAGATTGAAGAAATGCAAAGCAACAATAGATTGTTATTTGTCTAATCTTCAAATAAATAGCGAATGATTTTCTTTTAGCCCAGGTTTAATATTTATTTTTACATTTATTGTGTAGAGTAAATAAAACAAAATTATAGAAAAGTATTTCAAGAATTATGAAGAAATATTTTGATTGCACTAACAATAAATACAATCGCACTGTGGTAGGTATAAACAGTTTCATTAAACGATTGCAACGCATGAGGTATATCTTGATTGAAGTCCAAGTTGCTGATTTACTAAAAATAATTTTCACTCGTTTTACAGGGAGTACACTGATACGCGCTTCCCCGTATTATTCCTGGCATGACTGAATCACTAGCAGCTGGCTCAAGACGGAACCAAAATAGTCTACTTCGGCCAGCTTCCTCCGAAATTACTGTGCTGACGAAGCGAAGATGGCGATTTGGAATCAAAAACAGGTATAGACCACAGAAAAGAATATCTCCTTGATGAGTCAGCGTGTCCATTCGTTTTCTTGAGAAGTACTGTCGTTCCATCTTCAAGGTAGTTCAAAATTTATTGAGAATATATATCATATGTATATTTTTTTTTCACAATATCCATGAAATATCGCATTCAAGACGCGAAAAATATTGTATGGTTTTTCGGGAAATTTCTCTCCATTAGTTCCAAGTTGTAATAATTAGAAATAGAAATTGTGTTTTCGGAAATATATTTGTTCAATTTGATATCTGAATCTCCTAACAACTTAGCGCTGGCCACAAGGAACGAATATTCAAAATTATTTATGTTGAGAAAATATATATACATACATATAACGTAAATTTGTCACGAATAACAAAATCTTAGTGATACATGTAATACGCTCGAATATTTACAGTTTAAAGATTTTAGAGGCATATCTGTGTGCACGGTGATGCATTTTGAGATACAAATTATGTACAAACTGTAAAATAAATTTGCAATTTCTTAAATTTATTAAGTAATAATAGAAAGTAAAAGCGTTTAAAATATAAAGTACATTAATAATAGATTATACGTCAGCTTTAAATAGTTTCTGTAAGCAAGAACACGAACGACTTGACGTGGTCGGTGAATCTTTGCGGAGTTCTGAACCGGCGGCCAAATATAGCTAGGTAATGTAATACACATTACGTGCTCAAAAATAGCCTAAGAAAAGGGCCCGGTGTGCACACGGCACTGCAACTGCTTTTCGCTCGGAACATGTTCTGCACATTAGAAACGGTCAATGTAAATTATCATATATTATATATATGTATATATTATATACAATACTTAAATGATAATTTATACACTGACATATATATTTATGTGTGTGTGCGCGCGCGCGTGTGTGTGTGTGTGTGTGTGTGTGTGTGTGTGTGCGTGCGCGCGCGTGTACAGTTGCGAGCTTATTATATTTTTATAGAAACATCGTGTTTACTTATTACGCAAATGTGCTGAAACACTAATTAAACCCCAATTATGCTTATATAGTATCTGATCAAGAAAAGATTAGAAAAATTTGAAATTTTTATTTTTATCGTGAAACTTTTCTTTTAATATAAACTATTTGACCCTCGTTAAATACATATTGTGTATTTTCTTTCTCGCACGCGACACACCTCAGAAAGAGAGAGAGAGAGAGAAAGAGAGAGAGAGAGAGAGAGAGAGAGAGAGAGAGAGTTTAACGAAAGAACATTTTCTGTTACAAAGATCTTCCTTCCTTTAATGATAGGCACTTTTTACTTTAACATTCTTTCTCATTAAAAAAGCATCGAATGCAAAAATTTATATAATTTACGCATAGCGCGGAATTTGTAAAAATATATTTCATTAATAATTATATAAATTTTACATACGTTTTACATTATATTGGACCGGAATCTACCATCGCCTCAAAGATTCTTTTGGTTTATGTTAAAATCATCATTTACGATAAAGATTAACGATATATTAATAATTCAAATAATTGAAACGATGGTTGTCAAAACGGCAACAAACGAGACTTGGACGTACTTAGAACATTCGGTTTTATTGCGACTTTCATTGTACAATAAATAATTGATTAGTAAGGACGTTAGATGATATTTTTATGTGCGTATATATATGTGTGCCATTATAAATTTTTTGATAAATAAATAAATAAATATATATATATATATATATATATATATATATATAAAATTGTAAAGTGTGAGCATACATATATAGTCAGAAAATTGTGTAATGTGTGTAGGTAAATATATATATATGTATATTTTTTTTACGGTATATACTTTTTTATAATAAACATCAAAACTATACAGCGAACGAGTAAACGAGTTACGTACGTACTCAACGCAGTTCGCACCGCTATTCTTCTTTTTTATCCATTATTATGTTATTGCAGATTAATATCGCGCAAAAAATTCCACATTTTTGATGCTATTACCTATTTACAAAGTTTGTAGAGTATTCTTTGCGAAAAGGCTGCGGATATTACATTGTCCTGAGATGCAAATATAAATATTGATGGTACAGGTGGAATAACTACATTCTATCATTCGTCTATTCTATGCTGATCTTTAAAAAATGCTTCACACTTTTTTCCGATCGATTTCATTACAAATTTTATTACAAATTTCATTACAAATTTCAACTCTTATTTTAATTTTGCAGCACCTTAATTTCGGCATCATTTTTGCGATCTTCATATACTTGATATGTCTTGAGATATTTTTTTCACGCAAAGTTTGCAATTTTATAATGCAGCCTCTCAACAACCTATTATTATTAATTACTTCTCGTTTCACTCGCTCAGCTATTCGCAAAATATGATAAGTTAGTACAAACTCCCCGGGCGCGCACGATATTTTTTATTAGAGGAGATTTGTTTGAGATGGAAGTTGAGAAATCTAGCAAGACAGGTCGGTATGTTACGTTATTTCAAGGAAAGCAACAATAAAGCACAAAAGTAAAAATACGAGTAGCTATTTACGGATTGCGAATCGCGCTGCGCGGAGACGGCTCTACTTGAGACGATGTAAAGACGTTAGTCGCAATGAACACGTTAGACGGAAATTGGTGTATACATTAGCAATGGTCAATTATGTATTGGAAGAATTCTTAAGTTCAATGATCACTCCACATCAACATCAGTTTTATATCCGTTTTGCTGTATTATTGCTATTGAAGAACAAAGAACTAATTTGTTCGAAAACTATAATAATTTGTAATTCTTTCATCAAGCTGTTACGCTTATGCAGATATCCAAAGATAAAGAGTTACGTGATAATTGAAATTTAATCAATATGTAAGACATATATACTAATAGGCAGTATAGACTAAAAGAGTTAATATTACCTTTTCCAAGATTTAATAGACTTACATTAATCCACTAATATTATTGACTTGTTAATGTTAATTAATTTGTCATGCCACTGTCTCGAGTATACGTTCGTCCCCGGCAATTCTCGGAGATGTATATAATATAAGAACAATCGCGTGTCGTGTTAGCAATCGAATCTATATCTTTGATTCAGTTCTTACTTTTGACGATGAGTTTGGCGGACGTTTCTACGGTACCGGCTGAAGTTGTAGCGCGACAAGTGAAGATGCCAGTATCCTCCTCGTAGGTGGTTGCTATCAGTAGCACCGCATTGTTGCCTTCGTGAATCATCTGAAAAAACGATACGCCATGCCTTCCTTGAGTATCACGTCTAAACATGAGATCCCTTTCGATGTTTCACGGGAGAACAATAGCGAGATATTTACCTGGAAGTCTGGTGATTGTGGGATCAAGGCACCCTCTCGATACCACTGAATCGTTGGTTTAGGCTTTGCCGGACTCACTTGAGTTTTAAATTGAGCTGGCTGTCCTTCTACCACTATCTGATCCTTCAAAGGTGTCAATTTTGGCAGGATATCAGCTGTGTCGGGCGCTAATTGAGAGTGGAGAAAAATAGCGCGTTAATTTTATGTGGTACGTTGATAGAAGGAAATTTAAAAAGAAAGAAATTGAAAAATTTCTATTCTTTTTTTTTTCTTTTTGTGTCTTACCGAGAACTCTTAGATTGGCAGACGTCGTGATCTCACCAGCCGGGTTTTTAGCGATGCATTTATAAACACCTTCGTCTTCGGGAAAGGCTTCAGAAATCTTCAGAGTACAGAAATCACCTTCTTTTTGCATTTGAAAGTACCTTGATGGTTTGATGACCTATGCAAAACACGATAAGCATTCGCGATAAGCATTCGAGTGAAATTATAAAAAAAATGTTATTAGCATCCAAGAAGTGTATTATTATTGTAGCATTCGATACCTTATCAGCTTTCTTCCATTGTATAGTAGGAACAGGTTTTCCTGTGATCCTACAGGCGAAAGCGACGGAAGTTCCTTCCTTAATGGTTTGATCTCTTAATGGCTCTAGAACAGTTGGTGCTTTTTCTACCGTTGGCGTTGTAGGTTTCGCGACCTTTGTTGGAGATTGAGGTCCGCGAACAGTGCATTCCGCTTCGCAACGTGCCTCTCCGGCACTGTTAATCGCAACACATTCGTATTTGCCAGTGTCCTCTGGTACTGTTTCCAGGATCAAAAGTGTATAAATATTATCTTCTTCCAAAGTCTTGTAACGGATATCCGCTGTTATCTTTTTGCCGTTCTACAATAAAAAAAAGGTATTCACAAATTTAAATTAATTTAAATTTCTTATACTATGCGCACGTAAAATCACCAACCGAATCGGCAAACTCATAGTGCGTACATATCTCACGTGAGTGTTTTACCTTGAGCCAATAAACATCCAGAGGTTTAGTGCCGGTAATTTTGGCGTCGAATCTGGCGAGTTGTCCAGTAGCAACAGAAACAGATTGGATCGTGGATAAGAAACTGGGTGGTACCGCGCCACCTCGTCCAGGCTGCCTTCTACGTTCCTCTACGACTAAATTGGCGCTACATTTGGCTTTTCCTCCTCTATTTTCAGCGATTACGGAAAAGACACCAGAATCTTCCATAAAAACTTGTCTGATAATTAACACCGATTTGGTGCTGAAGGTATAAATTTGAAGGTCGGCTGAGTTTTGTATAGGAAAATCTTCGCGGTACCACTTGATGGTCGGTAGTGGATCGCCATCGAATTCAACCTCAAATTTGGCCTGTTCCTGCTCAAATGCTCTACAAGGTTGAATCTTCTTCGTGAAAACAGGCGGTTTGGCAGGTTTGACTTGACCTTGCACCATGCGTTCTTGCGTCTTTGCTTTGTGTTCTACTTCTGTAGTCTCTGTTGCAGTAATTTTTCTCGTTATTTCTACGTCACCCTTAACTTCCTTTTGTGTTTGTTTTTGTTTAGCAACATGAACTTCGCGACCATGAACTGTGGATTCGGACGGTTCCGGAGGATATTTTCCTGTGGCCTTAACTCGTTCTGTGTCTATATCCACCTCGGTAACAAACGGTTTTTTCACATATTTCGGAGGTGGTTGTATCGGTGGTTGTTCTTGCTGAGGTTGCTCCTCTCTAGTAACGAGAAATTAGCAATTAGGAATAATTACCGCACCAAAGAATTACTATTCGTATATATACGTCGGTAATATTATCAAATATTTATTGTAATATACTTACAAGCTTTCCTCATACTTTTGGGCCATTCCTTTTGCTAAGGAATGTGCGACAACTTTGTCGCCGGGAATAGCGAATTGATGCGAAGCTTCCCTTAATCTGGTCTCTTTAAGCATTTGTTCTTCTTCGAGATTCATCAGTTTATTGTAATAACCTTCCTTCTTTTTGCTCTTGACGGATTTCTGCCACTCGGTCTCAGGCTCTTTGATAACTTTAGTACCAAGATGTTCTGTGGCAATTTCGATTCCTTGAGAAACGCTTTGATGACGTTCGTCGAATGCACGCTCCAATTCTGTGTCTTGCCGCTCGGACTGATATTGTGTTAGCCCATAATCGTACCACGCTAAAGAAACAACACATGATATCTATGTGTCCTCGTGCATCTCGTAAATTTCGCGTAAAGAAGAACGCGTGCGTACATTTTGATTTATAATTCAATCTCGACAGCGAATACAGCTTCAGTGAGGCATTTTTGCAATTTATCAGCGAAAATGTATTTTCATACAATTTTTGTTTGAAAACAAATGTAATTGATTATTGTTCGCGTTATAATTTATTACAAGATCGAATTTAAATACCTCGTTGAAGCAATGTTGTACGTTTCTCTCAAGAAACAAGTATATCTAACTGAAAACCACGATATTTAAGACACAGTACGTGAACGACGATGCAACACATATCGACGACACCTAGATAATAGATAATAGATAATAGGAATCGAGCTGGATATGGAAATTTCGAATAGTTAACACATTTCTGAAATTGTTTGCTTTATCATATTATCGAAAACACTGTTAGACTTAAATCATTTGTTTCTTATGAACGTGCTTGCCTTCGTGTTATGAGAAGGGTTTCTTTTCGAATTTAAAAGAAAGAGAAATAAATCTGCTGAACTGCGAAGTTCTTCCATCTGATTAACTAAGTAATTATATATAATCCGTCGAACTTTGCACCTTTTCGACGAATTAATTTTAACATACAATCGCTCGCTACTTTTTGTGCGAGACATCAAAGGATAGGTAATACGGGGAACGCATAAGAGTATAAAAAGAGAAAAAGAAAAGAAAAACGGAAAAACAGAAAAGATACAAGAAAAACAACAACGTAAACACATGATAGGGATTAGGATCAAATCATATTGATTGCGCAATATTGAGAGATACGGAAATCTGCTCGATATTTGCACTTTCTAGACATCTAGATGTAAATTATTTTAATAGTAAGAAAGTATTATGATGCCTATAATGCAGTGAATAAAAACAAATATTAAATAAATAAGTTATATATAGATTGAAAGATAAGTATAAATATATAAATGTAAGATATATATATATCAAGTGAAATAAATTGAGATTTTAGGTGAAATAACTTATACTAATGAGCAATAAACCCGTGTTCTCCAGCGCAACAATATATGATCGTATTTAATTATGAGAAAAAATATTAATAAAATATAAAACAATACTAACGTTCTTCCGACAATTATATTTTCCATACCTGAATATCGATGTGAGAGATACGATACCTTTTTGATCTAAGACGATATCGCTCAAATTATTCCGTCGATATTTCCAACCATGATGAAGAAGAAGGAGAAGCAGAAGAAGCTGTTGGATTTCAGGTGATTTTCGTGGCTTTGTAGTGCCAAATGTGGAGAGCGGGAAGGAAGGAATCATTTATGTTCGAATGGTCTAGAGTGTTTTCTGTATTCGAATAGAATGCATGTGTCGTATCGATATATATTATGTACTGTGTTTCGGTTGTTTGATACTTTCCAATCTACGCTCGCCTCTCGCGAATCGTTATTGGAGGCTTACAACCGCTTTTTCTTTCTCATTTTCACGTGTGATATATCTGTATCGTTGTAACCCGTTCAACGTTTTATACTGCGCGTGAATTCTTCGTAGTACTTTTCAAAAAATTTGCAGCAAGTTATCAATTAATTAATTAAATGTACATTTTTCATCTTTATTTTTTATCTCTTTTATATACAATATCTAAGTGCTCTATAAAAGTATACCTTATTTTATTGTGAGGCACGAAAATTTCACGAGCGTACATGTGTATAATAGTTGGAGCGAAAACTTACGTCTTGGTGAATTTTTCAATACACCACGGTAGTCGTCGCTTCGCTGCTTGACCGTTAGAGTCGTTTCCGTGTGTGCTTCGCCAACGGAGCTCCTTGCAATCACTTCCACCTTACCATGATCGTATTGTCTGGTCTTTGGTATATCCAAATGATACATGCCGTCGTATGTTAGTTTATAGCGGGATCCCTGCGAGAAAAAAAGAAAAGGAAGATATATAAGTTTAATATATATATAATCACATATTACCTATATAGTATATTTCCGTTTCGAAACTTACATTAACTACCGTATGTCCATTGATTACCCACATAACTCGAGGCCTTGGGTGTCCAGTGACTCGACAACAGAATCTAGACCAATCACCTTCTTCGACCGTTACCGGTTCTGGTTTGCTCACGAAAACAGGCGCCGAGCGTACTTTTTCTTCTTCACCTTCCTCTTCGGGTACACTATAAATAATTGCGAGTAATTTTTTAAATAATACACATTGCCATTTCGCATTGCCACGGCGCGGCGCGACGATCTCTCGCTATAATGAACAAATAAATCTATCATGCGGAAAACGATCTTTTTCGCATTTCGAAATTGTTTTTATCGTACACAAATGAAACGCAAAAATAATATCTTACATTTGCCATGCTGCTTCCATTTCTCTAATTTTCTCGATGCTCTTCATGCCTTTTGGAAGTTGAGACTCGTAGATAATTCCTGGTTTTCCCGCAGTTTTGATTATAGCTCTAGTCTCGTCCATTCCATAAAGATTTGTAGCTCGACATAGATACTCGCCACTATCTTCTGGATAGACCCAACCAAAGTTCATAGCTACATAGCCAAAGTCATAAATAGGCGTAAATCGATTTTTATGGGGCAATGGTTTCCCGTTAAAGAACCATTCGACCTTCATATTTGGATCACCCACGGGCGCCAATTGGCATTCGAACTTGGTACTATTCATTTCAATAAGATCGGTCTGATCTTGAATCTGCGTGACGAAACGAGGTGGTTGCTTCTTATCCGCATCATATAGATCGTCTTCAGTTAAATGAATTTCCGAAGTATACTTTTTAATTGTCGCTTCCATTTGCATCAAGGCCTCGGATTTTTTCATACCTTTTGGTACTTGATTTTGCAGAATGATGCTCGGTAATTCTGTGAAAGAAACATTTATTTGATCAATCGGCTTTGATACAGCTATTGTAATTTGGCTTGAAGAATGCCTGGTAAAAGATCTCATAACGTACTCTTGCAAGATACGGCAGCTCGAGTGTTATCTTCTCCAAGGTCGTTGATGGCTTTGCAAACGTATTCACCAGAATCCTCGGGATAGACATATAAAATGTCCATCGACACAAATCCCATATCGTAAACCGTTCTATATCTGTGCCCAGCAGGTATCAATTTACCATTTCTGTACCACTCGATGCGTAGATTCGGATCCTCTTTAGGCTCTACACGGCATTCGAATCTGACCGGTTCACCTTCGTCGACAGTTGTTGATTGGATTTGCGTGATGAAACGAGGCGGTTGTCGCGGTGCTTCTTCCGCGGGAGCTTGAGAGACCGGTCCTCGCTCCAGCTCTTTTAGCTTTTCGCCGCTCATTCCCATTGGCAATTGAGAGTCAAAGTCTATCGTTTTCTTAGCTGAGAGAGAGAGAAGGAAACAGGACAGAAAGAAATAGGAGAATATTTCACATTATAATTTTATATTATAATAGCGAGTTATGTGTAAAAGTGTATATATTTTTACGCTCGAAATATTAAATTGTACAACTTACATTTGCAAGTAATGGTGGCCTTGGTCGTAGCAGTGCCCCACTTGTTAGTAGCTCTGCAGACGTATTCGCCGCTGTCTCGTGCATACGTGTACGACATATCCAATGATATAAATCCAAAATCGTTAATTTGATGAACACGAGAGCCTGTCGCGAAGGGTCGTCCATTGTGGAACCAATCGATACGCATAGTAGGATCACCCACAGGCTCGACTCTACAATCGAAGTGACTCGGTCCAGCTTCCTCGACTTCGATATCTTTAAGTTCGACAATAAATCTCGGTGGATTCGGCGTTTCTTCCTCCGCCAAGATCTCGTCTTTCTTATATAGGGACTCTTCCAATTTCTGAATACTTTCTGTGCCGGTTTTAAAATTACTCGGTAATTGAGGCTCCAGGATTATACCTTGACGCCCGCGAATTTGAAGCTTGCACGATACTGTGGCTTCGCCATGACGATTTGTGGCTTTACAGGTATATAAGCCGGAATCGCGTTGATAGCAATTTGCAACTTCTAGAATGACGAAACCAAAGTCATGAATCGTCTTGACTCTACTACCGGCGAGAAGAGGCTTGCCGTTGTGGAACCATTCGACTCTCATGCTGGAATCGTTAATCGGCTGTAGCCGGCATTCGAAGTGAGCAAGAGAGTTTTCGGCCAGAGTTAAGTCGGAAGGAGTCGTGATAAATTCTGGCGGTCTACCAGTGTCATCCTCGGGACTGATCTGACCCGAAACTGCCCCAAGACCTTCCAACTCAGCGATTTTATCAATCGTACTCTCCATACCTTTGGGTAACTGAGATTCCAAAATAATACTACGTTTGCCTGTACACTTCATCGTGCAGGTCGTCACTGCCTCGCCGTAATCATTTGTCGCTCTACAACTATATTCGCCAGAGTCTTCAGGGTAGATAGGAGAGATTTCTAAAATGGCAAAACCAAAATCGCAAAAAGTCCGGAAGCGAGATCCTGTTCGCAATGGTTTACCATTCCAAAACCACTCGACCTGTGTGTCAAAAAAGAACAATATGTAATGCCCGATAAAACGTACATGCAATCTACATCCATCTACATACACATAATACATATATATATATATATATATATATATATATATATA